CCCCCCTACTCCATCGACACAATTTTGATCAATTTGGAGGCGGGCTTCAGACCTTGTCTCCCAGGGCCAACTCAGGCTAATTGTAGAGGGATGCAACAGCTTAGCAAAAAGGCCGAGATACTCGATAGAAATGTTTACTTCACTCAGGAATTAACTCGATTATAATCTGTTTTCTCTTGAGTACCTATGACTACGAGAACAAGAACATGCTTTCAGAAAAAGAACTTGTTTTCTTTGTTTATTCTAGGAGTACAAGAACTTGCTTTCTCTTCAGTACTTTTGGGACAATAACTTGCTTTTCTCTTCATTACTTTTGGGACAATAACTTGTTTTCTCTTCAGAAGCCTACCTATGAGACCAATAACTTGTTTTGCCATCAGTATCTATGAGACCAATAACTTGTTTTGCCATCAGTATCTATGAGACCAATAACTTGTTTTCTTTTCATCAGTACTCATGAGAACAATAACTTGTTTTCTCTTCATCAGCACCTATGAGACCAATAACTTGTTTTGCCATCAGTACCTATGAGACCAATAACTTGTTTTCTCTTCATCAGTACCTATGAGAACAATAACTCGCTTTCTCTCCAGTTCCCCGAGCCAGAGGCCGAGAGTTACAAGCCGTGGTTCGTTAACTTGTGAAGGGCCACACAACCACCGACAGAACTGACCCTAAGGCAAGGAATCTTTGCCCATGGAATGGAGGTTATACAATAAAATGGAGACTGCACCGGCCGCACTAAAGGGAATCTGTCAGTCTGTGTGTCTGTCTGCCTCTCTCATGCTCAAAACGAACATAAGTTAGTAGTGGTAGAGAATCTTTGGTTGCGCTATGTTCTAAGATCTTTGTCCCAAGGACACCCTACGGACTACAGTTGCGGATCAAGGAAAGAAAGTCACATGATAAGCTTTGAGATTTTAAGAACAGAGTAATCCTCAGTTGATGGGCAAACCCGAGGATACTGGTACTGATGCCTTGGGCAAACCACGTAGGTGGGCGGAAAGGGGTGGGTGAGGAAGGGGGTTGAGGGAAGGGGGGTGTTCTGACATTGAGAAATGCTTCCTGTGCGACTAGGCGTATTTTCCTAGTCAAGGAAGCAAACACCGGGGTGGGGAGAGCGAGGGGCAATTCAGCGTCTGTGTGTAGCTGTGACTGTTTGGTGCTTCGATGTCACACGCAGGAGATCAGAGAGATCGACTCCCGAGTGGGAAAATTTTGTTTGTATCGAGTGTCTCAATTTTTCTGTGGGGATGTTGTATCTCTCTCACTCTCAGCCCAGGTTGGTCCCGAGGGCAGGTTTGGAAGTCTGCCTCCTAAATGATCTACTAAATTGTGTGTCTGAGTGTCTTTGTACGGGCATGTGCACATGTGAGTGGTGTGCTTGGTACGTAGGCTATGTGTCTTGTTATTCAGATGATGGGAACCAGGTGCTCCTGTGGTGTTTCTATTAGTAGAAAACGAAATAAACAGAAAACATAATCTTATATCGGTATTGTACATATTTGAAAGCTTCATTTCCATTTGTGGATGTGCACAACTTGCTTGTTTCTCTCCTGGCTTCAGCTTTTTTAATTTTGTGAAGCGTCATGTCATACGAGTGCTGCCCTCTGTGACTGTTCTCTCTCTCTCTCTCTCTCTCTCTCTATTTCTCTCTCTCTCTCTTCAACGTTTATGGCACTTGCAATACAGTGAAGTCAGATGATTGCCGAAGATTAGAGGTGTTACTAGAGAGTAACAAATACAAAAAAAAGAAGGAGCAGAGATAAGGACGATAGATGTTTGATACGAAAGTAGGAGGAGAGATAAGGAGGAAAGATGTTTGATAGGAACAAAGGAGGAGAGATAAGGAGGATAGATGTTTGATACAAGAGAAGGAGCAAAGAATAACAGGGCACCTGCCAACCACCCACATTGCTGCTCTTCAACTGGGCCTCCACTTTATGGTCTACAGCATAAACACTAAATCTACCTAGACGCTTTAGACCATTCCCAAAGGGGGAATATTAACATGTTCTTTTGCATAGTAGAATTGTAAATGGGCTGATCTATCAATGTCATGCTCATACTGTGCCGGAACAACATAAGGGGAACTGCTGCTTTTTCTTTCCTCATCCTGACTATTACTATTGTCATTTTTCCTCTACTTCTTCTATTGTATGTTTGTCACTCTCTTGTGGTATGCTATTTCCGGGGTCCCTTCACAGTTCAAGCAGACTTTGTGCTGTTGAGGCTAGAGAGGTGAGCAGAGTAAGCCTGATTCCCTGTTTGGACTTCTCTGTTGACATTCACCCCTTGGCGCTCATATGACTGTAAGCAGTTGTGAGCGCCGTAAAACCTGTAAAAACTTTACTAACACTAAAAAAACTACCTGGACAACACAATGAGAGACCACGGTGAGGAACCTTCAAGACACTTGTGGTTCATATTCAAACATGGAATTTATTGGACTTTCTGGATCTCTACATTATATCTCACATTATTGCAGGTGCGAACATCTTGTGGCATCTCAACAACTGACGCAGAAAGCCAATTAAAAAAACCCCAACATAATATAATGTATATACAGACAAAAATACAATATCATACCTGTGGTATTTAGAAAAATTAAGCAAACATTACAGGTATTAACGGACACCATTACGTAAGTATAATCACACAGTACACGGCAGAAATATATTTATACTTGTACACACACACACACACTTTATATTTATATATATGTGTGTGTACAGGAATAAATATATTTTATTTATACACATATATATAATATACAGTCAAACCTGCTCAAATGGCCAACTGCCCTAGACAATCACATGTATAAACTGACCACTTCCCCATTGTGTTTTTTCTCTACAACAACACTGCCCACAACATCCACCTGTACTGGACACCCTTCTCTTCAACAACAGGTGGCCACATTGGACAATTTTGACAGTATACGATATATATATTATATTATATAATACATATCATATCAGCACATTACATGGCAAAAGGCATACGTGCACATTGACAATATAAATTACAGGAGCAATATCGTGTACTCAGGCCGCAACAAGTAAAAAAAAAAAAAAAA